AGATTGTGTGTGTGTGTGTGTGTGTGTGTGTGTGTGTGTGTGTGTGTGTGTGACGGGTTGTGCATCCGTTGTCGCATCAAGTGTCGCATGCCACACGTTTTCTCACGATCACAATGTTGGTGCTCTCATGGCCGTTGCTGTTGTCGTTTTTGTTGTCATCGATCAGGGTGGCAGAGCGGGTGCCTTGCAGCATGTATTGATGGCGTGTGCGAGTTGTTTCAAGACGAAGAAGAGGGTGGCATGCAAGCCTACGACCACGCAAGTGCGTTGACACAGTGCTGTTGCTGTTGCTGTTGTCATTTTGCCCTGTAGCGCGCACAGTTCCATTCTCACACAGCCTCATATGCGGCTTCGTGTGAATTTGTGTGAATTCGTGTGAATTTGTGTGAATTCGTGTGAATTTGTGATTTTGTGTGTGTGTGTGTGTGTGTGTGTGCGTCCGACATGTACATACGTTTTGCATGTGTATACTTACGCGTAAACTTGCATACACGTGTGTTTCAATACGTGTCGCTGCGCCCACCAGTTGAGCTTGGCAGCAGTGCTGTCTTCGACATGGCGTGGGTGCCACGTGAACCGCTCATCTCCTTTGCCGTCGACCGTCACTGCCAACTTGTCAATCTCCACCGCATCGAATACAAGACCGTGAGTTGTGAAGCTCGATGCAAAGTTCGACGTGTTTGTTAGTTTGTTTGTTTGTTTGTTTGTTTGTTTGTTTGTTTGTTTGTTTGTCTGCTAGTGTTGGTGTTCGTGTAAGTGATGTTGCGTGCGTGCAAGTGTGTGTCCTGCCTCGTACTCGCATTCGACTGCTGTTCCATTGACAGTTTGATATATGATGCATGCACACAACGCACGCCACGCATGCGCTGTCTATGTTTGCCAGACATTTGATGCCGGGAACTTTGAAACTGTGTCGGCGATTGATGCCAACCCCGACTGCAAAGGTGTGCGTGCGGTCTTATGACACGCAGCAACAGTATTGCAAGTTGCCGTTGACTCGCCAAGGACTCGACTCGTCACTCGCATTCCCTGGCGCCCCTGCAATCACCATTCTCTCCAACGCTCACCATCACCACCATCACCATCACCACCATCACCACGTTGCAGATGTGCTTGGGAGCGGGACGAAGAGCGGGTCCATCGCCCTGTGGGACCGCCGTGTATGTGGCGGCGCAGCCGTCATGGGCACGCACGCAACATACGCAAAGCCTGCACGCGAGTGGCGTATTGACACACTGTCCACGGTCCGTTCAAACAGCAGCACCAACACGAGTCCCATCAACAGCAGCACCGGCAGCACCGCTGGGCAGACGGCACCAAGATTCAGGCAACAGCGGCCATTGACCGTCACAAGTCGGGTCGTTGACAACAATCCTGCTGCACCCTCATCATCGTCGTCGTCGGCGTCGTTGCGTCAGCGACCAGCACCGTCGCCAGCTGTGCACCGCATTCGCTTCTTCCCAGACGGTCGACACTTTGCCACAGTCACAGAGCGCAGGTGCAAAACCCGTGTGCCTGTATGTCTGTGTGTGTGTGTTTGCGTAAAGCGTGTGCGTATGTGTGTGTGTGTGCGTATGTGTGTGTGTGCGTGTGTGTCTGTCTGTGTGTCTGTCTGTCTGTGCGTGCGTATGCCTCTGCGTATATATGTGTGTATGTGTGAGTGAGTTTGTTTCCGCGCGCTTACGCTTGAAACATTATGCTCACATCGTGCGTTTGCATCTCAACTCCCCTGACACAGCGGCGTTCTGCTGTGGGACATGAGGAAACCGTACCGTGCGCACGCCCGCCAGCCAACACCGGTTTGCTCCATTGAGCCGCAACTGCGCACACAACGAGGTGTGGGCTGCAAAGACATTGCGTCGCCATTGCATCATGTCGCGCTGCACACGTACGAAGTGCTGTCGTGCACACTCGCCCCTCGATCACAAGCGCGTTGCCAATCACTTTTACCCTCACACACACACACACATACGCGCACACGTGCATGCGCATGCACGCTCACTCACATGCACGCACACGCACGCACGCACACCATTGCTTGTGTACATTCTTGTGTCCTTGGAAGGGAGCAACTTTATGCAGTTTGACATTGACACGACTGGTCGGCGAATGATGATTGCGTCAGCAGCACTCGACACCGTTGTCTGCGAAGGGTTCATGGAGAACGGTGAGATCACGTTTATGAGTGTATGTGCATTGTGTGTGTGTGTGTGCGTTGTTTGTGTATGCATGTGGTACGCGTGTGTGTGTGTGTGTGTGTGTGTGTGTGTGTCAAAACTTTGTGTGTTTTGACGGTTGGAATTTACTTCGAGCTAAGTTTGCAATCGTCTTGCACCCCAACTCAAATCACACACGATCACTCACTCACGTATTCACTCACTCACGTATTCTCTCGCATATTCACAATTGCGCCCGTGCACTGCCACGACCCTGCAGCGTTCTCGCACGTGGTGCTGCGTGATTCCGGGATTGGATATGCACTCGACACACACATGTCCCCCGATGGCACCGTTGTCGCCAAAACAACGTCGCTGGGACTGCTTCTCTGGCAGGTGCGTTCACGCGAAGATCGCGCGCGCGCGCGTGTGTGTCTGTATGTGTGTGTGTGTGTGTGTCCGTGTCTGTGTCTGTGTGTCTGTGTGTCTGTGTGTGTCTGTGTGTGGCGGGATCTGTCTTTGCTCTGTGTCTTTGCTCTGTGCCTGTGTCTGCGTGTCTGCGTGTCTGTCTCTGTGTCTGTCCCCGTCTCTGTGTCTGTCTCTGCTTGTCCTTCTCTGTGTGCTTGTATGCGGTTGGTGCTTGTGATTCTGTGCATGTTGCTGTTTGGGTCGCACATGCACACACATTGGCATTGCTTCAACTCAACCCCCGCCCACCCACGCAAAAACACAACCCAACAGGTGGATGAGCCCAACAACGGCTACACCGCCCTAGATGCAACGCCACTAGCGTTTGCATTTGCACCGACCAGACGCAAGCTGCGCTTCGCCGGCTTTGACTGGGCAGACACGCTCATGGCCGGGTCAGTACGTGTGTGTGTGTGTGTGTGTGTGTCTGTGTGTGTGTGTGTCTGTGTGTGTGCGCGCGTGTGTATGTCAGTATGTGTGCGCGCGTGTGTATGTCAGTATGAGTGTGTGTATGTCTGTGTGTCTGTGTTCTTGTCGACCTTCATGTCTGTCACTTCTGTGTGCGCATGTCGCTGTCTCTCTGTCTCTGTCCGTCCGTTGCGTGAGTTCCTGCGTACGCCCGTGCCCCTGCCTCCACTCGTTCCGCTCACAGACCGATCATTCTCTGCTGTGTGAACGAACACTGTGTACATGTGTTGCAATGTTGTTCACAGGACAATAACGACGGCGCGGTGAAGATGTACGCTTGTCACATGTAACTGACACTACGTAAACTACGCAAACTGTGCAAACTGTTGTCGCTTTATTGAAACATTAAAGTATGCAACGCAGTGTGTTACAGCCATAACTGAGCGACGTCAAATGATTTGGCACCCGCCAGCATCCCCTACCGCCACGACCAAGCAACGATGCATGCATGCAAACACACACATCCACACACAGACGCACGCACACACACACATCCACACACATCCAAACACACACGTCTACACACACACACACACACACACACACACACACACACACACACACACACACACACACACACACACGCACACGCACGCACACACACACACACACACACACCAACCACCGCCACGATCACGACGCTGGTGGCCCGCGGCTCCGCTCAGGGAGATTCCACACGCGCGTGTGCTCGTCATGCTCCACCGCCTCCTCAACCATCACGTGGTGCCGGCACACCGTCATGGTGAACACGTTTGGCGAAACAGGCCTGAGCGCGTGCAGCAGCCGCTGCCCCTCTGCGCCTTGAAACGGCGCAATGTGCACCCGCGTCATGGTGTGTGTCTGGTGGTGAAAGGCGGCCCACGTCGCCACCGCCAGCTCGTCCAGCAGCAACAGCGGCGGGTGGGCGCAGCCCGTGCCCGTATCCGCAAAGAAGCACATGCGACGCGAGCGGCCAGGGTAGTCCCCTGCAGCGCGCTGGTAACATGCGCGCGTGACAGGGTGCATGAGGTCGAGGTGCGGCTCCCGGAACAAGAGCTCAAGCCCAGCCTGCAAGCACTCCTCGCGAAACGTACCCGTACGGCCGCCAATCAACAGCTCAAGGCCCTGCGCATCAGCAAGACAGATGACAGCAGAGCCGTGATCGCGAACGACCCACATGGGCGCGGAGGGCATGTAGGCGGCAGGACGGGTGGCGCGGTGCGTGCTCTGGAAGGTGAGGCTGTCGTCAAGATGGATCGTGAGCCAGTGCTGCGGCCAGTGCCCGACCATCAGCTGCAGGGTGGTGTCTGGCGCCAGGGCATCGCGCATGGGCACGTGGCGACAGACCACGGGCGGGCCAGACAGCACCGATGAGACTGCAAGGGAGAAGGGGGGGGGGGTGGGAGAGCAAGTGTCAATAACAGTGTGAGTGAGTGTGAGTGAGTTTTGTGTGTGTGTGTGTGTGTGTGTGTGTATGTGAGTTTTGTGTGTGTGTGTGTGTGTGTGTGTGTGTGTGTGTGTGTGTGTGTACCAGTGAGTGGGTGATGATGTGGGGAGGGTACAGTCGTGATTGCATGCATGCAGACGCACAAAAATGTTGTGCGCGTTGACATGGCGCACCTCTGACGCTTGATGGATTGAGGGAAGAGGAACGCTGGTTCTTGTCTTCCTCGACTGCACGTTGTGGTGCTGATGTAAACGCAGGCCGCAGACAGAGACAGAAAGGCAGATACACAGAAGCAGAGGAACAATGTGAGAGATGGGGGTGATGATGATAATAGACGAGGCAACAGTCAATTAATTTACCCAGGAGTGCACGTCATGTTCATACATGCCCATGTGCATTGTTCGCTCACATGTAGCACGCTGCATTGCTGGGCGGCTGTCAAGACGGTATGACGTGACAGGTGACAGTGCGTCTCCTAAGCCCCTATGAGGTACAGCACACCAGGGACGGCAGGGGAAACAAACTGGCTGCAATGAATGTGCTGGTCTGGCTTATGTTTCGGCTGTTGCTGTTGCTGTTGCTGTTGCTGTTGCTGTTGCTGTTGCTGTTGCTGTTGTTGTTGCTGTTGCGGTTTCAGTCGAGCAGCAACGCGACGCAGGACCGGCAGTGCATTGCTTCAGTCACAGCCGTGTGCTCACACATGAGTGAAAAAAAAAATGTTCAAATCACCCGGACACAATCGTGTGTTGGGGATCGACACGCCAGGCCATACGTTGGGAAAGCAATGCTGCAATGTGGGTGCGCCAAAGAAAGAAAAAAGAAGAAAACAAAAAAGGAGCAGACACAGGCAGTGATTCGTCCGTGTGTGTGTGTGTGTGTGCATGTTAGTGTTCGTGCGTGTGTGTGAGCATGTGTGTGCATGTTAGTGTGCGTGCGTGTGTGTGTGCATGTGTCTGTGTCTGTGCTTTTGTCTGTGCGTGTGTGTGTGTGTGTTTGGGTGCGTGATAACCACCAACGACAGAGGAGAACAGCCAGAGCACGCACAAACAGCAGGACAGCACGCACACATGTACACATACGTGTCAGAGGCACAGCAGCCAACCACAGGGAATAAATCTCACCACAGCAGCGCCCGGGGAGCTGAGGCAACCCACTCTACGAGGCATTACGCATGGTTGTACTTGGCACTGCGCAGTTCGATGACATGGAACACAACACAAGCCATCTGCGCAGGTAATGCATGTATGTGGGTGCTTGTGGGTATTTGTGAGTGGGGGAGAATGTGCGTGTCCTCGTGCGTATGTGTGTGTGAGTGAGTGAGTGAGAGTGTGTGTGTGTATGAGTGAGTGAGTGAGTGTGTGTGTGTGTGTGTGTCTGCGTGTGGGCGCTGGGATATGCGCGCACATGCGTGGTTAGTTGCACAAAGTGGCCAGTTGGGGGTACGGAACCACATGCATCGAGGGTGACTGAGAGGACGCACCAAGAAGAAAAGAAGAGCGAGCGTGGATGCGCTGTCTGCACTTCTGTGTTCACACACGATGGGAAAAAGCACGTGACCACCATTGCCTGATACTTGTGAGTGTGCCATGCCACAGCAGCCACACACCACACACACACGCAGAGCAACGACGCGGGGGAAGAACAGCGAGCAGCACTCACTCACCACTCACAATTGCACACAGTTCCCATGTAAACCCGTACACACATACACGCGCGCGCTCGCACTCATGCGCCCTCTCCTTTCCCTGAGCAGCGCATCGTCACGCATGCATGGTTCGGAAGTGTCCGTGTCATCAGACCTTGGTTCACTTCAAAGACGTCTGGGCGGCAACATCACAACGAAAAAAAGGAAGGAAGGCCTCCTTGGCCTGCCCTTACACTCTTTTTTGCTCTGCGTCCATTCCATCCATTGCGGATCGTTGCTGGCCGTGGACCACTTCAACCTGTCTGTAAGCAAGGGTGGGAGACAGCAGGGAACAAGGAAGAAGGAAGGATCAGTGAGCAAGGTGGTGGTTGGTTGGTGTTGTGGATTGTTGGGTGGCGGTTACTGAAAATTGATCCATGACGTTCCCAATCATCGGCACTGATGCCCTCACCCTTGACCCAGAAGCAGGAAACACCTTAACACTCCTCTCCTACACTCCCTCCTCACTCACTGGCTCACTCCAGCCACCCTCGTGCTTGACTCCCAACGTCTGATAGATCTCCTTTGCTTCTGCCGTGCACCCTGTGGTCGTGGGATTGACCAATTATTACGCAATTTATAGGAGCAGAGCAACTTCGTATCAACAGTTAGAACAACACCGGATTACTCAATCAATTACAAGTACAAGGAAGGAACTGAAGTACGATTACGGAACTTAGCAAGGGAGCACAGTGAAGCGCAGCGAATAGCTAGCTCGTCCAATGGCCACTTCAAGGCACAAGCACTGCCACAGGCGTGTGTCTGTCTGCATGGCCATGAGGTGCACGCACACACCACATAAACACAGATTCACACGCATGCACACGCACCTACACACGCCCACGTACTCGCACACACGCGCACGCACACACACATACTCGTACACACGCACACACACACACACGCACACGTAAACTCAGCAACAACAACCCAAAACACGCAGAGAACAAAGCCATAGGCGAAGCAGACAGCAAACGCAAAAACGAAAGTGCCGCCCGGCTGGCTAGGGTGGCCGGTTGTGCGAGTAGCGGCAGTTGCAGAAATGGGTGAACTTGCTGCACAGCAAGCAGAAGCCGACATCGCGTAGCTCAGCGGCAAGCTGTTCGAACAGGAGAGCCAGCAGGTCCTCGCTGCCGTCGATGTTGATGCGCGCCAGCAAGTTGATCACCCGGTACAGCTGTCCCCGAGTGCCACTCCGAAGATTGCGCTCCAAGCGTTGCCTAAGCCTCTCCAATTCACGGACTGCCACACGTATCAACTCCTGCGCCTGCTCGCGTGTGATGCCGTGTATGTCGGGGCAAAACGGGCTCATGCAATGCCGTCCATTCCCGCTCTTCACGCGCTTTGGTGGTGATGACATGTCAGCGTCTGCTGAGGGTGCTGCGCCTGAGAAGACTGCTGAGGCCGCTGATATGGTCGAGACTGCTCAGGCTGCTGCGGTTGGCGCGTTCCTCGCCACAGTGGGCTGAGTAGTGTGCTGGGGAACAAGGGCCGTGACGGTGGGGGCGACGAAGTATTGGTATTGGGGTTGCTGGCTTGGCTGGCTTGCTTCAACTGGTCGTGTGGCGGTCTGTCAGGCTGATGCAACGCGGTGTGCTGCTGGGCACAAGAAATGGATAACTAAGGCATGGCAGCTGCGCATGTGCACACGTCCCTGCTCGCGTGGCGCATGATCACGTGGCACCTGCACGTGTCAACGTGCACATGGCCAGTCGGTGGGTTCACACACCATGCGCCCATGCGACAAACGACAAAAGGACAGCCGCACGCGACAAGAAAAAACACGTGGGTTTCGAATTTTTGTGACGACACCAGCACTTTATTTATTGATGATGTCACAACTGTAGAAGACAACATTGCACAATGCCCACAGCAGTGTTTGTATGCATGGATATGTGTACGTGTGTATGTATGGTGTGTGGATGCATCAAGACAATAACTGGTGCATCACATCCCTGCTGATGGTGGGTTCTGATGCATGCCACGCTTCAAGATACGCCTGCAAGGGCGGTGTGTGTGTTCATGTGTGTGTGTTTGTGTGCGAATGATATGGGAACGTGGACAAGTCAATGTGTGAGCACATGTGTGTGTAATTTACGTGTGCAGTACAAGAGCGCACGTTGCTGATTCGCTTTCTGATGTGATTGTGCATGACAAGCCCAGCTGGTTTGTTTGCTTGCTTGCTTGGTTGTGACGATCCACATCAATCGTGGTGTGTTGTGACACACGCACCATCGCAACCAACCATGTCCCCCTCAAACACAGACACACACGCACACGCACACGCACACACACAGACACAACCTTGGAGAGGAGCTGGTGGATGCGAGCGCCTGAGAAGCCGCTGGTCTGCTGCACCAGCCACTCCACATCCTCTTTCTGCCACCGCACGAAACAGGGAGGGAGGGCAAGGGGGTTCATGTGAACACATCAAGTACACGTCATTATCATCGCCGTCGTCATCAGCAGCAGCAGCACCAGCAGCACCAACAACAACTTAA